AAAAATCAATTAAAAACATGGATGTTTCGGCAGGCCTTCCCTCCAGACAATTCCTGATGTCCTCTTCTCTCTCTTTTCTATCATTAGTTCCCTTCTTGTTTAAATGTTTTTATTATCTAAAAATTGAGTTATCCATATTTTATTGTGTTATTTTATGCTGTTAGCCTCCTAGAGTGGTCTTAACCGACCAGATAGGCGGGATATAAAATTAAATAAATAAATAAATAAATAAATACTTTTTTACACCACCCTACTCGGAACAAACACTCTGTGGCTGGCATAGAAGTGGCTGGGATCTCACATTACAGTTAACAGCCGCCTAGAGTGGTCGCAATGACTAGATAGGCGGGATATAAAGTAAATAAATAAATAGTAAAGGTAAAGGTTCCCCTTGACAATTTTTTTGTCCAGTCGTGTCCGACTCTAGGGGGCGGCGCTCATCCCGCTCTTCAAGCCATAGAGCCAGCGTTTGTCCGAAGACAATCTTTCCATGGTCACATGGCCAGTGTGATTTAGACACGGAACGCTGTTTACCTTCCCACCGAGGTGGTCCCTATTTATCTACTCGTATTTGCATGCTTTCGAACCGCTAGGTTGGTGGGAGCTGGGACAGGCGACGGGTGCTCATTCCGTCGCGTGGATTCGAACTTACAACTGCTGGTCTTCTGACCGTGCAGCACAGGCTTCTGCGGTTTAGCCCACAGCGCCACCACGTCCCTGGCAAAAAAACAGTAACAAAATCAGAAATTAACCCATAAATGTATAGGCATAAAAATAGAAAAGGCATAATGCCTTCTGCTCAAATGGATATGGTTACATTAAAATTAAAACCCATGGTATAACACTCCCAGTATCTACTTAGAATAACATGGTGAAGGCTGTGGGAAATGCTCACAGGTTTTAAAGTAAAAAGCCATTAAATAACTCATGAAAAATCCCATTTTTAATTTTTTTTCCAAAGGTCCCGGGGGGGAGGGTGTTGAGCGAACCACCAAAGATAGCTTGTTCCAATAGAAGGGCAGAAAAAAATGCCCCATTTGTAGTTCTGGAATCCTTGCCTTTCTTGCAATCACCACTTTCTGTGAAAAATGTGGTGAGGAGATACAAGCCCATAATGATAAGAGTTTTTACCTCAGAACTTGAGATGCCCTTCTTCCTCCTCCTCCTCTCACCTTCCTCCTGTTTATTTCCAACCTGCCTTTCCATTGTCCTGCCCCAGAAGATAGAAAAAAGACAAAGACACCTGTCTTAAGGAAAAGTTTTTGTTTCCTTTAGCCGAGAATCCCCCAGATTGATGGGGTTTTTCCCCCCTTTTCAGGCAGGACATGAGACTCAGCTGCTCTATTCTTCCTTTCTCAAGACCAAAAGCAAAGAATAAAACTCCAATACATTCGCAAGGCAAGTGATGTCTATTTTTTTAATTAGGAGCACCACTCTATGTATTTATTTAATTACAGCTGTACAATGGGCAGAATGCAAAATGTTGTAAAGCTTACAGAAACATGTCAGATACTTTCTCCTCAATAGCAGGCAACACCATGAACATTTGGGGGCCCCGACCACCAGAACTTACAAGATCCTTGATGAGGGACAGAGAGGACTTGGAAATGGGTGTGACGGCCTGTTCTTCTCGATCCTCACAATAGACTGTGTTGATGTGAAATCCCATTTTCCTAGGTTCACTTTGGTTCTGTCAGCTTCAGCCTGTAGCCTATGAAGTGACTCCCAAATAACCCAGTTATCTGTGTGATTGAGAGCTAGATTTTGACAATTTTCCATCCATGTTAAGAGATGGGTAGTTCTTTCCTCCCACATCAGAGCTCTGGCATTCTCTTCTTTTCTTTCAAGATCCACAAATATTTGATTAAACATTTTGCCTTGATTTTAATCTGGGAGGAGAAGGGGGGAGGCAAAGAGCGGGTGTAAAATTAATGTAGATGCTTTGAGACTTTCTCTGCCCACTGTTGCCGGTACTTCTCCCTTTGTTCCCAGGGAGGGGCTTCAGGCCCCCAGGAACAATTCCACACTGTTCCTTGAGTTCTTGCTTTGCATGGACTAGATAGCACTAGAGTGGAGGATTCACCTGCTTAGTAGCATTTGGGCTAAGGGTGTCTTCCTTAGCTGGTTCCCAAGTGGTGCCTCATTTAGCAATGTTAATTGGTTAAAAAAAAACATCGCTATGGGAAAACATCGCTAAGCGAAACACCATTTCCCATAGGAATGCATTGAAAACCAGATAATCCATTCCAATGGGAACGGATTACCGTCCTTAAACGAAAATCGCCATAGGAAACATCGCTAAGCGAAACGCGGTTCCCCCATTAGAATGCATTGAATAGGTTTCAGTGCATTTCAATGGTTTTGACAGGTCCGTTTTCGCTATTTTTAAAGTGTCTTAAAATATTCAGAAACTGTTTTAAATGCTTGGATTCGTTAGTGCACCTTGTAAAACATTTGCAAACTTAATTTGGCTTTGTTCTGAGTCTATGTTAATTTTTGGTGAATTCCCCCCCCCATTGAAATTCATTGAACTGTAGGTTTGACCACTGTACCTATTTGCCGTAGGATGTTACCTGTGGAGACTTTCTGTTTATAAAAGCATGGTTCCAGAAGCACCAAGGAATGCTTGCAAGGAGTGGATTAAGTAGCATCTTCCCAAACCATTGTGGGTATGAGTAACATGTGTCCCAATCCAGCTGTCTAAAACACAGCCTCTCTAGACATGTGCAGAGGTTTGTTTGTTTTATTTTTTTCTTCCCAATTTTGCTCCACCCAGCCCCACATTCACCAAGAGCAGGTGTGGTTGGCAAGATGCAAACCCTGGTCATCCTGGCATGGGGCTCTCCCAAATTTCTCCTTTCCTCTTCTGGGAACCAGACGGATGAATTGAGTAAGGTGGAAGAGATGTTTCTCCTCTTGCCTCCCTCTAATGTAGACCTTTTTTTAAAAAAAAAGTCCATGGGCTTCTGCGCAGTTTGATTTGAGAACGTTGCATGGATTCCATGGCGGGTCTCCTGTACTTGGGAACAAACTAGGTTGGTTGGCTGGAAGTAGGTAAGAAAAGCAAAGGCAAGGAAAAGAGGCAGAGGTATCAGTCTGGACCTCTGGGGACCTGATCCCAGGCTGTGGGGAGGCATGACAGGAAAGGAGAAAAGTAGGTGACCAAGAAGTGACAAGGAATGCTATTAAAAGGAAGCTTTTTCTGTGGGTTGTTGTAGTTTTTCTCACTGGGTCCTCCAGTATTGTAAAGAGCGGAGCTGTGTTTATTAGAGGGGCAGAGGAGGTGGCAAAGTAAATCTGTCTCTTTTGAAAATGATATTCCATGAAGAGGAATATGAAATACCAGTTTCCATGGTGAGAAGGAGGGGAGGGGGTGCCTGGAGAGGATGAGACCAAGAGGAAGACCAGCATCCTTGGGAGAAATGGAATTTGGGGGGGTGGTGGAGAGGGTTGGGACAGCAAAGGTGTCCTTCATTTTCTGGGGCAGCAGGAGACTTTCCTTTGGAATCCCACCCGTGCATTGTAAGCCCCCGCTTACAATAAGATCAGATCAACAGCCAGCATTTGCGTATATACAGTGGTGCCCTGCGTAACGAGTGCTTCATTTAGTGACGAATCCACATAGCGATGTGTTTTTGGCGATCATTTTAGCTTTAGTTTTTAATGGTAAAACATCGCTTTGCGATGATCGGTAAGGTTTCACTTACCAATTTTCGCATTGCGATGTTTTTAGAACAGCTGATCCAAAATGGCTGGCGGGTAAAAAAAATGGCTGCCTGCTGTGCTTTCGTGCCCATTCCTCGCTTACCGGGCAGCGAAAATGGCGGCCGTATGGAGGATTTTCGCATAACCGTGAGTTTTTTGCCCATAGGAACGCATAAAACGTGTTTTAATGCATTCCTATGGGCTTTTTTGTTCCGTATAGCGACGAATCTACATAGCGACAATTTTTCCGGAACGGATTATCGTCGCTATATGGGGCACCACTGTATGTGGAATGTGGGAAGGTATTCCTTTAAGGAGAAAATGAATTTGAGATCTTTGGAAAGTCATTAGATAATCTGAATAGATAATCTGAATTTGGATAAATGTTGCCTTCTGCCAGTAAGTTGGTGCCACTTGTATATGAAATACCAAGTATTGATATTTCTTCCACTTATCTTCACCCTTCCTTCATTTGAATCTAGTTCAGCTTTCTGTACAGTATATGTTCTGCGTATAGATTTCACAGATAAGGTCATAACATGTGATCTTGAGTGCCTCTTCTTTTTTGAAATACAGCTTGAACATCAGGCATTTCTCTCTGCATAAAAGGTAAAAGCTTCTGTTTTAGCACCTTCAGCATCACTTTGCTTGCATGGGAAATTATATCAGTGGTGCTGTAGTTACAGCACTCCTTGGCATCTCCTTTCTGGGGAATTGGAATGTAGCTATATTGAATATTCCCAATCTCTTGATCATTATTTTGCTTTTTTATTTGTTTGCATATTCTTGTTAGGATTTTGACAGATTAAGACTCTATAGCTTGTAATAGTACTATAAGATGTCCCTTTATCCCCATTGATTCATTTCTTCCTCATTCTTTTAGAATAGTTTTCACTTTTAGAACTACAGATCCTTTGTCATAAGATTCCTCTTCAAAGGAATAACTCTTCTGCTCTCTTTTTTCTCTTTTTGTTGTCTTCCTCTATTTTTTTGCACTTGTTGTTATAGTAGTTCTCTAATAGTAGAACGTTCAAAAGAATGATGGAAGAAATAGCTAAAACTGTAAAGACAAGAAGCTCCTACTACAGATTTTTCAGTTTTATCCTAAAATGTTGGCTGTTTTATTTCTAGTTTGTAATGGTATATTTTGAAACAAAACTAAAATTTTTGGTAAAATAGGTGCTTTTACTATCACTATTCTGCCAAATAGTGATAGATTTAATTTAGCCCATTTCTTTTTCCCCTTTATTGTTGTTTTAGTTCAGTAGTTAAGTTGTGTCTGACTCTTCGTGACCCCATGAACCAGAGCACACCAGGCCCTCCTGTCTTCCACTGCCCCGTGGAGTATGGTCAGATTTATGTTGGTAGCTTTAATGACATTGTCCAACCATCTTCTCTTCTGTTGTCCCCTTCTCCTCTTGCCTTTACATTTTCCCAACATCAGGTACTTTTCCAGGGAGATTTCTCATAAGATTGCCAAAGTATTGAAGCTTCACCTTCAGGATCTGACCTTCCATCATTGTTTACACTCCTGAGTTCTGGCCCCTCGCCAAAACATTCAACGTTGATGTCCTTCAAAATGGAGTAGGTTTGTTCTCTTTGCAGTCCAGGGGACTCTCAAGAGTCTCCTCCAGCAAAACAATTCAAAAGCATTTGAAGCAGATCAATAGAGGAGAGGGAACCCCCCTCTGAAAGTGCGAGGGTACCGTGTCCACACTCTACCCACTCGATCTACAACAAAAGCGTCATGTTGATTATAAGCTCAGAAGTGTGATTGTCCAGGTTTGATCATTGGCTCGGATGCATCTAGTAAATCCTACTCCAGTGTATGGTTCACGAGCTGCACAGTGGCAGAGAAAAAGGCAATTCAAAGGGTGATTAAGACGGCCCAAAACATCATTGGCTGTTCACTCCCCTCTTTGGAAGAATTGTATAAGAACAGATGTAAGAGGAAGATATCTAACATACTGAAAGACTCCTCTCATCCGGGATATCAGCTCTTTAAACTATTACCATCAGGAAGGAGATTCAGGGTATTGAAAGCAAGGACAAGCAGATTCAAGAACAGTTTTTACCCAAGTGCAGTATTGAGTTTAAATGCGGGGCCATAGGTTTTTGGTGGAATTTTAATTGCTGAGAGAAAACGGGGTATCTATATTTGGATGGTGAAAGTTGTGTATATTTTAACTTTTTTTGTAGTGTTGTCCAGTTTTACCTTGGGGAAGAGCACCTCATTTCGTTGCACCCACTTGTGAGCGCAATGACAAATAAATTTCTTATGTCTTATATGCCTGTTGAATCAGTGGGGATTTGATGACACAACTCCATAACTCTGAGCTAAGTTGTAGTCCTTTGTTACCATTTAATCTACCTTTTATTCTACAGGGAAAATATCAGTCGAAAAGTATAAACTCTTTTAACCATTAAAAATTGCAATATATATTACTGACATGTTTTATAATTGAAAGAATATATTTCACATAGCCCTGGCATTTATTCCTTTGAGAAAAATCACTAATATTCATATAAGGGTATTTTACCCATAGAATCATGCTGGCATAAAGGACATGACTTGTAGTTCTTTATCTTCAATCTCATTGCCATTAAACAATCCCCATGTTTTTCTTCACATAACTGCACTAAACTGATGCTAACATTAAGCTACTTCACTTTTCTATGTCAGGTAAT